TGCAGGATTTGGCTTACTATTCTGCTCCTTCTCTCAGTCATCTTTTAGTTTCTTAACACACCCTTTTGAGGCATACTCCCAAAAACTCTTCTTAATCTTCTGTCCAATCAGTACATTCCCAAGCTCACCATTTGCTTACCCTGTCAAGCTTTCTAAGAAGTCTGTAAGCATCCATATATACATTCAGATAAAAAAGAAAACCTAGAAATTTTACAGTTATTTCTTTGTATGAATGTATTTTTGTGTTAGTGTATAATGAAGATAATGAGACCTGTCAGTGGGCAGGATATTGGGAGGGTATTTTACTGTTTGTCCCACTGCTTTTAAGTCTTACGGAAAACCTGATGTGTCTGCACGATTTTGAAATGCCACAGATCAAAATACACTTCAGAATGATGTCTTTGATGTGTGGTTTGACGGTTGGTTCAGGTCAAGAAAATTCCAGGTCTGTATTTGAAGTTGCTAAAAACTCAGCAACTTGAAATCACGTTAATAGCTATGTTGACTCTATGGAAAAATGTCTAATATCTACAAAGTTTTTATGAAGATTCCAAGCACGATAGTTAATGTGTGCTTTTTTTGGAAGATATGAGATGCATTGCATTTCAAACATTTGGTGCTTGTCCAAGAAGAATGTTGTGCAGGCCTAGTTTTGGCTGAAGGAAAAGTTTTACTTTCTAAGAAGTCTGAATACTGATACCAGATAAACAGGTGAATGCTAATTTTTGACTACAAACCCTTCTGTTTTATACAGGCTGTTGGAAATTAATAATTATAGGTAACCGTAGAGTTTTTTCCATTAATAGACAAAATACCAAATGTCGCAAGTTTTATCAATTAGATCTTAAAACACAAGTTATATCATTTGCAAATGAGGTCACACAAGTAAAATAAATCTAAACATTTTAATAATGTAGGACAAATGACCACTTTTTGTTAAACTTTGAGATTATCAGATGGACAAATGTTGCCACAAGATATACTTCCATATTGCAGCTTAAAATAACTTTTTTTAGATTTTAAACCCCCAAACTCCTAAAGAGAAGAAATGAGCAAATGGAGGGAAAAATTGTGTGTTGGAATGAATGGCCTGTTCTTATCAGCTGTCTTGTGTTAAATATTCCAAGTTAAGTGCCAGATAGCAGGTTTATGTTGTTTCTGTTACTGAAAATTGTATTTGGAATATTCCTTGCAGGTAGCTAAATCAAAATGTTTTTTTAAAAAGGTAAAACACTAGTGGAATTATTCTGTTGTCATATGTGTCATAACTGCTTCTTTGAGTTACTGGACTTTTGTTTTTAACCAGTCCTGGGGGGAAAAAAGAACCAAATCAAAACAAACAACAAACCACAAAACAAACAACTGCGCCCCCCACCCCCAAAACAAAGCAAGCAACAACAAACCACAAACCCACCACACATCGGTTTATGCATAGACACTTTTCCTAATTCTGTTTTTGTGGTGGTGTTGCTCTTCCTTTGAGTAATATCACTTGTTCACCCCTCAAAAAAAAAAAAAAAGCTCTTACCACCCACGAATCCTTTTAGATTTATGTCAAAATAAAATGTGTACTCCTGATGTGTAATTATACCTTACCTTTTGGGGTTTTGCATCCTTTTGTCTGTTGATAAATCTCCTGCTCCTATGAGGAAAATAGGCAATCTGTTTTTTGGAGTACAGACAGTGACTTCTCAGTTGTCAATCACATGCTATTCTACCTGATTAGTGCTATCTAATTAGAACCTTTTTATCACTATTGCTGATAAGAGGAATAAGTTAGGAAATGGAAAAGGTGGAAATGATATATTTACCAGCACTTGTCAAGAAAACAGAAGAGGATGTAATACCATTTTCTCAGGATGCTTTGTCAGGCTGTTTGAACAGAGTGACTTGAGATGTGC